TGGCCCACGATATCTTTTCCACACTGACGATTCTTCCTGCTAGGCCTCTAGTCCTCCTGTTTGCGCACACAGCGTTCGCCGTGTTTGTCGAAAGACATGTGCCTTGTGGAATACATCCCGGGAAGTGGGTTTCTAGCAGAAGCCTGCTGGTTTCTTCCGGGGTGCCAGTGTAGGTACCATCTGGTCTTTTCAAAGTGCATAGGACTTTCAGATGATCTATTTTAGGGGCCTTCTGAAGGCGATGCACCTCTGGAAGAGAGGAAATACTTCCGCAGTTCTCACGCCACGTAGCCCTTTTAGACCTTCTGAGCTCACAGTTGTAAGCGGTTAGGGCTGACTTGTAGGCGGTCCAGTCACCTGTTGACTTTGCCCTATTGAAAAGTTTCCTGGCTCTTTTCCTTAGTTTTCCGAGAGAATCGCTCCACCAAGGGACATCCCTTTGAGACTTCTTGGTTCTCAGTGGGCAGCTCTCTTCAAAACCTTGTTTAAGAACATCTTGGAACTTTCTCGCCTCGTCCTCAAGTTCATAGACGGATGAAATTGGTGCCGTAGAACCATTCACTTCCCGCTCTATGTGGAGGCGAAAGAGTTCCCAGTTTGTTTTTCTGGGATTTCTGTAAACATGGTTTGTTACTCTTTGGGCTTCTATATCGAATCGAATATGCCGGTGGTCCGACATAGATACCTCATTTGAGACATGCCAGTTTGAGATAAAGGTCGACAAGCTAGTTGAGGAAATTGTCAAGTCTAGAACCTCCCCTCTTATAGCATTGACAAAGGTCGGCTCATTACCCCGGTTAAGAATAAATAAATTGTTCTTAGTGATAAATTCAAGAAATGACTCACCTCTAGAATTGGTGTCCGAGCTACCCCAAACACAGTGATGGGCATTGGCGTCACAGCTCATTACTAGTTTCAGCTTTCTCCTTCTGCAGTACTCCTCTAGGGCTATTACTTCCCTTGTGGGCATCTCACAGCTGTCGCCTGGGAGGTAAGCTGAAGCGAGAACGACCTCTTGTTCTCCCATTTGAGTGGGCACTTTAGTCCATACAGCAGCTAAGTCCTGTTGTGTCAACTCTGAAATGGGAACAAAAGTCATGTTATTACGTAGTAATATGGCCGCTCTGGGCCTGCAGTGTGTGGTATCGTAAATTATCTTACCATCACAGTCGTTTAGGCCTTTAATAGCCCCGGCGAAAACCCACGGTTCTTGGATGAATGCGACATCCAAGAGTTCTGTTTTGAACCTCCTGCATAAGACGTCAGAGGCCGCCTTTGCATGATGGAGGTTCACTTGCAGGCACTTGATGTGCCTAGGCCTATCGCTTGGGGGGTTTGCCATTTTTCGGCCTTGAAGCCCGCTTGGCCATCTTTTTCCCCCTATTGGTGGCCATCAGGGTCTTCTCCTCCATTGAAATCTCCCCTCGACCTTGTCTCCGATTCGCATTTAGCGGAGGACGGAAGGGATTTTGGGCGAAAGGGGCCTTTGATTTCTCTGGGCTGGAAGGTACCCTCTTTTCCGTGCCAGGAGTGTCTTCTGAGCAGCAGGCCCGCTCTATGGACTCCTGGACAGGTGATTTTTCCTTCTCCGCTGCCCCTGACTGCTCTGAAGGTAACCTTTGCAGTCCCTTGGGTACGTCCTTGGAGCCGCAAGGTCCCTCTTTGAAGCACGCACTTTGTGCAGTGGAGGAGGAACTGGCTATAGCAGGCTGTGTACCCTTCGGGTCTGACGACTCAGTCGTCTTCCCTTTTTTTATGGATGCGCACCCTGCCATATCCATAACTGACTAGGTATCCCAGCCTGTCGAGTGTCTCCGCTGAGTGCGGGTCAACCGCTAGAGTGAGCTCAGTGGTGGGTCCCTTCTGTACCCTGTTGAGCACCCTCCAGCTACCTACCCGCAGCCCTTCGTTCTGACCCTCGACAAGGCCAAGGATACTGTCCACTGGAGTGGTTGATGGCTCCGGAATGTACCCAACGTATACACTGGGTTTGGGTACGTCAGTGACATTCATTGCCACAATTTCCGCGCCCTTCCAAGGCTTCAGGGTTTGGGATACCTTGCGCAGCCATTCCAGCGTTTCAGCGTCTCCGCAGCCAATGGACATCCATCCCGGACGGAAGGTGCAACCGCTAAACTTGGGCTTCACAGAGCCCTTTCGCTGCCGCCTCACCTCCTCCAGGATGGCCGTCTGAATGGCCTGTAGTTGGTCTAAGGACCAAAGTGCCTTAGGGTACCCTTTGGGGAGTAACCCTAACTTAACCCCATTACCAATGTCCGCCTGACAGGTCGGCGCCTTTGTGACATCGGCAAAAGTTGCCTTAACACTAGGTTCCTTTGGTCCCATATGGGCCCTTTTGTCAGCTGGTCCTGGTTTCCGTTTGGGAGAGTTCTCCACCGGGGAAGATGTGAGGTTGACCGATCGGTTCCTCTTAAGCTTTGTGCCAGCCAGCAAAGCCAGTTCGGCTTTTCCTTTTGCCATCGGAATAATGGCTAGCCGTTTGGCCTCGCTTTCGCTGACACCTCTGGAGAGGTAGAATTTGTAGCGCTTTTTACCTGCTCCAGAGAGTTTTCTTTTAGGAGTACTAGCTTCCTCCTGCTGTGACGATAAGAGCGCCTCCTCCTCGTCTGTGGGTATTTGGATGTCGTTGCCATTTGAACCAGAGTCCATTTTGGCAGTATCGACATCTATGGCCACCGGGTTGCTGAGAAGGCCGTTTGGATCAAAGTCCATTTCGTCCATTAAAGCGTCCCGAGAGGGTTGAGCGCCTTGGCCGTTTGGATTTGCACCCAGTTCGTCCGCCGCAATCGCCATTTGTTCAGCAATCTCGTTGGGCATCGCGTGCACCTCTGAGACTGCTGACTGTTGCCCACTGTTAGAGGGCACAGAGCTTTTATTGTTTTTTTTTATTAATTTGTTTTACTTCCATAGAATCCCACGAGTAAGGGGGAAGAGAGAGGTCATCCGAGGCAGAGCCCCGGTACCCCGGAAAGACTAAATAAAACCAGACGGCGCCACGTGACTGGAGTACACCGTAAAAAGACACACTAACGTAGTGCCATTCAGTCCGCAGGCACGGTCCGATTAACACCTGGACTTACGGATTTTATCGAGTTGTTCTCTCTAGATCCGCCATATTCAGTAAAAAGCAGGGGCACCTCTCGCAGGGTGTGACTCTTCGCCACGTATGGTCGGTCTTGAGCCATCGACAGCCCCTGATCCAGAGCACTGCATCACGTGTGATAACAGCACCAAGAACCTTGACCCCCTAAAAATATACCTATAAATAGACTAATTAAAAAAATAAGTTGTTTCGAAGCTTAACAGTAAGAAAATAACCTTTATCAATTTTCTTAGCGTTAATTTTGAAATTACATAAGATTTACTTAGTCTATTTATGGGTATTTTTAAGTAATACTAATGGTTTTTAAGTAAAAATCTAAATTTATTATTTCATGCAAATTGCTAAAAATCCTAAAATATATACATATGCCACCAATACAAAAAATCTCGACGTGTTAGAAAAAAAGCCAAATAAGTATTTACATAAATTTAATGCACCGAGATATTCAAAAAATAAAAAAATTTAAATTTCGCAGGCCTGGGTAATCTATAAATCAGGGTTCAGAAGGAAAAGTCATATTTTTAATACAGGACTTTTTTAACTTGGATTTCAGAGGAAAAATTGTGTATTCTTAATTACGTATTGTAACAATATTGCGAAATTTATAAAGGGCAGCAGTCTACCGATCGGATATCCGAATCCGGCTCTTATTTTTTACATGGTATCCGGAATCCGGTTATTCGGCAAAATTTCTATCCGGCACACCCCTAGTTTTTTTCAGCGCTCCGCTGTAGCTCCACTCCGGTATTTTATTTCGCTCCGAACTCTGCTCCTGCTCCCAATAAAACACTTTTTAACCTACTTCAAAAAAGGAGGAGGTTATCAATTCGTCGGAATTTCTTTTTTTTTCGCATAACTTTGACCCTCGTGGTACCTCAACGGTAGTCCCATACTAATTAGGCTTATATCCGATCACTGGATCGCACATACGGACGAATCGACAATTTAGGACGACAAAAATGTTTACTCCATATGTATTTGACAGATTTCAATGAAATTTGCTGTTAAGGGATTTTCGTGGTCATTGATTTCGAACATTAAATCAAATTTCCAAAATTCAAAATGGCGGATCCAATATGGCGGACGATTTTTTAAAAAATTACTATATTGTTATGAAGCTTGGTATCCAGATATTTTCGTCGTCACTGATTTCGAAATTGATATTCAACTTTCGAAAATCAAAATGGCGGATCCAATATGGAGGACGATTTGTTCAAAAATGGATAAATTGTTATAAAGCTTGATATTTACTCCATATGTATTTGGCAGATTTCAATGAAATTTGGTGTTTAGGGATTTTCGTCGTCACTGATTTCGAATATTAAATCAAATTTTCAAAATTCAAATAGCGGATTGTTGTGAAGTTTGGTTTCCAGAAATTTTCGTCGTCACTGGTTTCGAAATTGATATTAAATTTTCGAAAATCAAAATGGCGGATCCAATATGGCGGACGACTTTTGTTTTTAATTATAGTTTGTTATGAAACTTCGTATTCAAAGATCTTCGTTATCTTTGATTACGAAATTGAAACTAAACTTTCAAAATTCAAAATGACAAATGCAATAAGGCGGACGAGTTTTTTTTTCAACGAGGTTACCTAACAAAATATAGATAACAAAAGGGAAAGTAAGAGGATGTATATTTTACTTTTAAAAATTAGTTATAAGATATGCTTTTCAGGAAGCAAACCAATTTTGGTGTACTTTGACTATTTTTTTATAACTAGAGCTTATATACAAATTTAAACACGTTTTAAATAAAAAATGGTGTTTTATTAAACATTACAAGTACTTACTTGACGCCTTACTATCCATATTGACCTAACTACTATTTATTAGTAAGAATAAAATGGCAAGCGAAATTATTTTATCCCCGCTTAAAATAAATATTAAATTTATTTTGAAGCACTAAAGCAAAGCCACCTTTGCGCTTGTGCTAAAGGTAACGCATTGGGTTAAAAGTAAATCTCCTATTGTTCGGGATGCCATATTTGATCTACCGTTTTAATTTCAGAAAAATTTAATATCGATTTCGAAACCAGCGACGACGAGAATCTCTGCAAACCAAGCTTCACAACAATCTATAAAGTTTTAAAGAAATCGTCCACCATATTGGATCCACCATTTTGAATTTTGAAAATTTGATTTAATATTCGAAATCAGTGACGACGAAAATCTCAAAATACCAAATCTCATTGAAATCTGCCAAATACATATGGAGTAAACAATGTTGTCGTCCTATATTCTCGATTCGTCCCAATAAACGACTTAAGAAAAAGATGACCTATTTAATGAAGAGGGAAAAGGGGGGACGAGTTCATGATATTTTTGCATTGGCAATTTGTTGGATTTTCGAACTGATGAAGAGAAATTGCTGTACTCGTTGGAACTTTTTTTTATAACTCTAACTAATATAAAAATTTCAAAATTTGTTCAATAAGAAAAAGGCAATTTATAAAATAGGTATTATAACCATTTTACAAACAACTATATTATTAACAAAAATCGCATAATAATGTACATACCTCACGCCTCACTTTCCGCGTTGACAAAACTGTTAGATGTTAATAAGAATAAAATGACAAGCGAAATTATTTTATCATCGCTTCAAACAAAAAATTATTTAATTCGACGCACGATAGAAAACTCAACTTTGCGCTTCTGCTAAACCTACCGCGTTGCGGTAAAAGTCAAAATTTGTGTCTTACATTGTGGACTGGTTTATAAGGAGGTATGTGTGATAAGATTAAAAGACTTTGCTTTTTCTATTTTTGTCGTCCTAAATTGTCGATTCGTCCCTATGTGATCGTGAAGAAATTTACGGTTGTGTTTTTGCTTAAAAGTTACTTGTTATTTACTTATTTACTTACATATCGAGCCCAAACCGAAAAAAAAACGTAGGCGACACTTTTTTGAAAATCTTTGTGATACAAACATACATCTAGATGCTGTAGGAGCATATCTGCAATCAAACGAAAATTAAAGCAAAAAACTACTTTTTATCAGTGTTGTCAACTTTTGATTTTCGAAAAGCACCAAAAACTTTGAAAAAAAAACGTTTTACCACACTAAAAGCACCAAATGGCTTTGAATCAATTGATGCTTTTTTCATAACAGTTTGTATGAATTTAACAAGCACCAAATGGCTTTGAATCAATTGATGCTTTTTTCATAACAGTTTGTATGAATTTAACAAAAACAAAAAATTAACAATATTTACAAGAATGCATACATAAATCAATAAATAAAACTTTTTCGCTCATAACGATTGAAAAGCCACATGCTATAATGACTCATGCTTACGACGCACAGTGTTTCGACTATATGGAGGCAGATAGAAACAAGTCATGGTGACAGTTTATAAAAAAAACCGGTTGGACTTAGAGAGGGAAAAGTAAAAGTCACAAATACCACATTTCACATTATTTACTCACCCCCTTCTTCACGAACGATGCATTCCCAAAGTAATACGGGAATCGGCGCGATACCGAGAAATCAGTTACGTTGCCTTTGGCGGTTAACCCATTAAAGAAAATTTTTCTTTTTCAACTGTAATCAATTATTTAAATATCGTGGAATATTCAGGTGAAGGTATTTATCATTTATTTGGAACTTTCCTATTTTCTTACCACAAAATTTACTTTGAAATGTAGATGCTAAAGACTATTAGTAAAAAAAAATATTGTGAGTATTGTGAGGTCCGTCAGGTCTTGAAATTAGACGAATGTTTTAGAGAATTTTATGTAGTTTTAGAATATATAATTTGATCTTTGCGCGCGATTTTGCAAATATATGTAATTTTTGATTTTCAAAATTTTTGATTTTCAGCCTCTTTTTGCATAATTTCGCGAAAAGAACTTTTCGAACAATGAAAAAGTCTCACCAAACATTAAGTAAAAAGCGAGTATTTACACCTAAGTCGTTTTATAGTATAACATTTGTTTTCTGAGAGTGAAAAGCAGGAAACAACAAGTAAGAAAGTCTAAGTTCGGGCGGAGCCGAACATTAAATACCCGGCGCAAGTATTAAATATGTATATGTTTTCCACCTTTCAGAAAGCTACCGCTACATGATAAGCCGGCGTGTATAAATTTTAAGTAAACTAGCGTCCTTAAATTTCAAAATATTGAAATTTCAAGCATTTCTGAAATTTACCGTTATATGAAAAGCGGCCGTAATTTTAGTCCGATTTCAACAATTTTCAATGGTTTACTTTTATGTGGCAAGCACAATAACCATACCGGTACAAATTGCTGGAACGGTTAGCGAGATACATATAAGTGATCATAAGTGGGCGGTG